GAGCCAATTGAATGTCCAGAAAACATGAAGCCATGTCTGCTTGCTTCTAAATGTATCTAGTAGATGGTCAGTGCAGAGCAGTGAGAGGAAAAAAGAAGCTAGATGTGATCCTGAGTCACTTTGCTCCTGGAAATTAGGATAGGAATTTTCTTCCATTAGGATGGCTTAAGGGAGCAGAGTGTGATTATCCCGTTGAACAGTTATGTCAACATCAGCAACACTTCAGAAAATCTAACAATCTATACTTGCCAAAAAGATCCATCATGTTCAAATTCTCATTTGCTTTCATTATGTCTGTCTTGAGGCTTTAAAACCCCGTGTTAGCCAGGCCTGGTGGTATATACCTTTAATGCCAGCACTTGGGAGGCAGAGGCAGGCAGATCTCTGTGAGATCAAGGCCAACCTGGTCTACATAGGGAGTTCCAGGTCAACTGGGACTACAGGGAGACCCTGTCTCAGAAAGACCAAAAAAAAAAAATCCCCAGTGTCTGAGTCATGCTCCACTTAGATATTGATGGTTCCTCATCTAGGCAGCATGACTTATAGGTGAGGCACAGTACAGCATGACTTATTGGTAATTCTGCAGATGTGAAAGACCAATGGACATTTTTATATGGATTTTCTTAAATTTTCCTTTAAAAGAACATGGTTATGTTGATATAATGATAAAGAAACAAGACCAAATTTCATAGCAAGTTGTAGAACTGTAATCATTATTTTAAATATTTTATTTATTTATTTTTATTTTTATGTGTATGAGTGTTTTGCCTGCATGTATGTAAGTGCACCCTGAGGAGAAGCAGAGCAGGGTTTATAAAGCCTAAAACACAATTACATCATGCCACAGGCAAAGCTCATAACCATAGATACATCAGATCACCACAGTTACACCAAACTAGGGGCAGGTAAGTTAACAAAGAGGTTTTCAGTTAACAAAATTTTGGTTAGGAAAAACAAGTTTCTCAGTATTGCAGAAACAATGGGTTCCATAGAGATACAGGCATAGCTGGATGAAAGGACTACTACCAAGTTAGTTGTAAGTTTCCCAGTGTTGTAGAAACAATGTATCCCCTGAGACTGCAGGTAGAACCTTCATGGCACAGATTCTGCATGGCTGACTGAAGTTACAGCAGGGGGTAGGGGCTAGGCAGAAATATAGAACTAAACAAGTCAGCTAGTATAAAATGGAGTCAGTTTTGTCATTTCAAGAACACTACTTAAGACTGTGATCTCTAGCCCAATGATAGAGTCTACTCTGGGAGATTTATACAAACTAATGAACCTCATGTAATATTTAGGTATATTTGAATCTGCATCAAGGTTAAGAAAAATATGATAAAACATACTCCGACCTCTTGTTTTATGAGAAACACCTGCATACATCACTGGCTTATCTAGCTTCTATCAACTTATTTAGCTACATGTTCATAATAATTTAACTTCACAATGCATACAACATAGATAAGGGATTCAGTTCTACAAGTTTTTAGGGTTTTTTTTTTTTACAGTGCTATACCTACTATTTAGAATGTACTTCATAATCAAAGACTGCTAAAGATTGGAAAAAATCCTTAAGATTACATAGGGAAAAACATCTATTTATACAAGAGAATTTTAAGAACCAGAGTAAGCCAGATCACTGTGCATCAGTTAATAACAAAACCAAGATAAGAACACAGCTTTCAACCTTCAGTCCTTTACTGTGTCATCACCATAACCTCTCAGAATCCACAGCAGCCCCTGCTCTCACAAAGCTTCCTGTAACCTGTAATGCTTTCTCACTGTGGTGAAGCCCTTACTGTGGTCTACACTGTACCATTAGCATTTTGTTAGAAACTTTTTGTGATTCCCACTATTATGCTTTAGTCATGAGTCTCCAATGAGACATGTATCTCTCAAAGGCATAAATCCTTGATTTATGTTTTTCTTAACTATTGCACACCTAGAAAAGTCATCATGTGAAAGTACTTATCCCTATCACTTCAACTTCACAGATTCATAGGCATGACTTTTTCAACTGTAGACTTATATATGATGTGAACATACATGAAAGCCAGAGCCTGAGTCCCACAGTGAGCTTTCCATTACTTAATAGCAATTGATGTAATGGGAAACACATCCCTCTGTCAGATGTCACTACCACTCAGAAACAGTCGTCTTCCCAGTCTTCCATGTGTGAACTTTCCAGTTCAGAAGTCATTCTGGCATTCTCCTACATCTTTGACTTCCTCACTCAGGGCCACAAAAGCTGCTTTGATCTGCCCCTCCTTCCCTATCAGCTGAATTGACAGCCTATCTTGACATACGGTTCTTGGAAGTATTTCATGTTTATGTGCACTTATGAGCTCTATACCTCCCAAAAAAATCAGTTTGCAAGGTCTACAAATTGAGTTGAACAAAGCCACACTTTAGACCAAAATGTTCCCACATATCCTGTAGTTCCAAAAGTGCATGTGTTAGCATAGCATAGTGAAGAACCAGGAAGCCAGGGTAAGGTGTCACTGGAATGGGAGGAAGTACCTGTAAAGAGAAGTGGAGGAACAAGCTTTAAAAATACATATATGATCAGGCATATTTTTGAACCATTAATTACATTTCTGGCAACTTAGCCTGCTGAAAAAATAATGGGTCTACACAATAATTTGACTAAAAGGTATTTGTTCCAGGCTTGTTTTATAAAGCTATGGAAATAAAGCCACTTTAACATCTAATAATGAACTGTGATGGTTTGAATGAAAATGTCCCCGGTAGGCTCCAAGTATTTGGACATTTTGTCCCGAGATGATGGCGCTGTTTGGGGAGGTTTTAGAAAGTGTGGCTATCCTGGAGGAAGCATGTCACTGGGGGTGGGCTTAGAGAGTTCTTAAGCCTTGCCAGATCTCCAGTAGCTTTTGCTTGCTTCCTGTGCCTATGAGAGCTTAGCTTCTTCTGTTCCTGGTCCATCCACCTCCAGCCATCATGCCTCCCTGCCATGACGGACTGTAATTCCCCTGGAACCGTAAGCTCAAATAAACTCTTCCTTCTATAAGTTGCTTGGGTCAGTGTTTCTATCACAGCAACAGAAAAGTGACTAACACCGAACTTAGTTTAATTATGGTTCATCTGTACACATATTAGTAAATGGTATCACAGAAGGATGTCTGTTCACATGGAACGATGACTAAGTTATATTAAAAACTGACAAAAGAAAGTTTGCAAAGAGAAATATATGGATGACCTGTGTTTGTAAGTATGTATGATTAGAAAAAGACTGGAAGGCCAGCAAATCATTAGTGATTACAAAAGTATACTATGAATTTTTACTTTTTGTTTCTAATTTTAAATTCTTCTGCATCAATTATAAATAATGTTTTGTGAGTGAGACACAAGCAGCTAAATAAATGACTGTTTAGCTAGTAAGATAAACAGATGGTTGGTTGATCAGATAGAAGATAAATGGATAGAAGATAGATAGATAGATAGATAGATAGATAGATAGATAGATGATAGACAATAGATAGATAGTGGATGGATGGATAGACAGATAGATTGATAGATGATAGATAGATAGATAGATAGATGATAGATAGTAGATAGATGATAGATAGATAGATAGATAGATAGATAGATAGATAGATAGATAGATAGATAGATAGATAATAGATGATAGATAGATGATGTATAGATAGAGATAGATAGATGATGGATGGATAGAGAGATGATAGATAGATAGATGATAGATAGATATTAGATAGATAGATAGATAGATAGATAGATAGATAGATAGAAGATGGATGGATAGATTGATTGATAGATGATGGATGGATAGACGATAGATCGATCAATCGATAGATGATAGATAGATAGATAGATAGATAGATAGATAGATAGATAGATAGATAGATGATAGATCGACAGATAGATGATAGATAGATGATAGATAGATAGTGGATGGATGGATAGACAGATTGATAGATAGATGATAGATAGATAGATAGATAGATAGATAGATAGATAGATAGATAGATGATAGATGGTGGATGGATGGATAGATAGATTGATAGATGATGAATGGATAGATTGATAGATGGTGGATAGATGGTGGATGGATGGATAGATTGATTGATAGATGATGGATGGATAGATGATAGATGATAGATAGATAGATAGATGATAGATAAATGATCATTAATAGAGATATGTGGTGGTTAGCTTTTATTGCCAATTTGACCCTAGGTAGAGTCACCTGGGAAGAAGGAACCACAACTAAGGAATTTCCCCAACCAGATTGGCCCTGTGACCATGTCTATGAGGAATTGTCTTTGATGATTTATGTGGGGGTCCAACTGTGGGTAGTACCATTCCTGGGAAGATGGGCCTGGCCTTTATAAGAAAGCTAGCTTAGCATAAGCCAGACAATGTGCCAGCAAGTAGAGTTCCTCCATGGTTCTTGTCCCCAATTTCCTGCCTTGAGTTCCTGCCCTGCCTTCCCTCACTGATGGACTGTGATCTAGAAGTGTAAACCAAATAAGCCCATTCCTCCCCAAGTTTTATAACAGCAAAAGAAATCAAAGTAGAGCAAGATAGGTAGATAGTCATTGGTCGATAACAGAAGATAAATAGGTCATTGCTAGAAGTAGTTGGATGCCAGGTAGATAGCTAAAGAATAGACACATAATTGATATAGATGATTGATATACAGCATAGATGATAGAAAATTGATAGAAGTTAGATGATAAATATGATAGATGACTAATTAATAGCTAATTGACAGATTAGATAGAAAGATAGAAAGATAGACAGATGGACAGCCAGCCAGGCAGTTGTAGAGGTATACAGACACATAGATAGATAGATAAATGATAGATAATCTCCATTGTCAGGAGCCACATAAAGTCAGTTATCTACTGAAAAGGATCAATGTGCCCCTGTCACAGCAACACTAACAGGCATAGATGAAACCCAGAAAATGTCTGAACATCATCTGGTAGTGGTGTCTGAGCTGTCTTCTTGACCCTCAGGTCGACGCCCATGGCAACATTCTCCTCAGCACCCTGGAAATCAGGAATGAGACCAGCGGCTCCGAGGTTCTCACCGGAGTGAGTGACCCCAAGGCCACCATGTACTCCTACGACAGCGCCAGCATCCAGTACCGAAAGCCACTAAGCAGCCGCGAGGGCTTCGGGCGCGGGCTGGACAGACACGGGGTGCCAGGCAAGGGGCGCATCCGCCGGCGGGCCTCCCAGCTCAAAGTCAAGATCCCCGACTTGACTGATGTGAACTCCATAGACAAGTGGTCTCGAATGTTTTTCCCTATCACTTTTTCTCTTTTTAATGTCGTTTATTGGCTTTACTATGTACACTAAGGTCTGTCCTCATGATTCAGTTTAGACTACCTTCTCTTCACTTGTTTTTTAACCCCACAGGTTCCCAACAGCGATACCGCTGTTTTTGGAGGTGAGCAATTCAGCCATTCAGTTGGGTTTAGGTCTCACATATCAGTTTTTATTATTGTACCATGTTTACTTCAAAAAAATTTTTTTCCAGTCTTCTGTGGTCCAGGTTATCAGCTCTTTAAGAGCTCTATTAATTGCTGTTTACAAACAAATACAAAGAGAGAAGACAGATAGGTGATAGATACCATTTCCTAGTTCCCCTGGGAACTTACTGAATTATGTAAAGACAAAAGAGGACCTTTTTGTCCACCTATACTGCTTCCTGGTAAACTGTAACAACTTATGCTGCCAAAAATGTTTAAAAAGAGAAATCACCACCGTTTTCAGGATCTTAGAATAACAAATAAAGCCATTGACAAATTGTAGATTTCCAGGGAGAAATGAAAAGGAAGATTCTCCTCCTCTCTCAAGTTCTCCTAAAAGTCCTTTCTAGAAGGGCTCCTCTGCTCTGTGGAAGATGAGGGGGCTCAAAGCAAGTACTGGTCAAGCTCACTCTGCTGTCCCTATCCAACCTCACAAATCTTCTCTCAGATTTCCCAGCAGATGTTCAGAATTAACATTAGAGTCCAGCCTGATCTGACTTGTAGCCTTTGAAAACATGTTTTCTTTACTTCTTCAGAATAAGGAGTTCAGGAGACAATGAGTATTTTCTTTCCTGACCATCATGTAAGAGCAGCCCTGATTGATCTTCATGGGCCAGTAATCTCTTGATGCCATGCATGAAGCCATGCTGCCACATTTCCAAAGTTCCTGATTTAGAGAGAGGAAAAGATATATGGGGTGGGGTAATTTGGGCTTTGAGAAAGAAAGTGGGGAGCAATTTTCCCTTGAGAAGGAAGGTAAGACTTACATATTATGAAAAGGGTGCCTGGGCAGTTGTTCACAACGCCAAATTTTAAGTCAACCAGTATGTATTTCTTAGCCTTCCAGAAAGTGTCTGATGGTGACAGCCAGTCACACAGATGGTTCAGATCTTGAGCTCTGCCTTTCAAATTATGGGATAAATGGCATGAGATATGCACACTTACCCATGTCAGTGCCCTCCGAAGCCAGATTTCCATTTTAAGAAAAACTTTTAAAGTAGCAAAATCACACATAAAAACAACAGTGACAAAAGGACATGCATACCAGTCCCTGAAGTGTAGACTGTGTCTACACTCATCAATCACTGTCATTACTGCTCTGCCTTATCTCTGCTCATGTATTATTCTTGGTCATAATTCTCATGACTTTCAGTGATGTAAAACATAGTTCTAAACGTGTCCAACAAGCTGCAGTTGAGTTCTTCCCATTTCGTGTCATTAGAACCTCATTTTCGTTCAGTCTATGTAAAAGTTCTATGTGTAAGGTTGAGTGAAACTGGAAATTGACCAACCATGAATGGAGGTCATTTGGTACATGATCCATGCATGTGCAGAAGAGCTAAAGGAGTCATCAGGATGACTGCCTCATTTGATGGTCTGGTGTTCACCTAAAGCTGAGAGGAAAATCTGTGTGCAGAGTACTGTGAGCTGATAGAAATGATAGTCATAATGGGAAAACAACAAGGCTAGAATTCCTACTAATGAGCCCAAGGGGAGAATATGGGATATTCTTTGAGAAAACAGGAGGAAAAGAGAACCCTTAAATAAATAAATGAGTGTGGTTGAAGGTGATAATACACATCAGCAAAAATATAGAGAAACCCCACTTTACCTGAAAAATGATCTCGGTGGTTCATGATGAATTGCTAGGGTGATAAGGACCAAATTTTCGTTTAGCTTTTCAGTTGTGTGAACATAATTCCCTGGCTGAGTTATCTTCAGCCTGTGGTCATCAGTGTGGCACTCTGCTTGATCTCCAGCAGTCTGAGATGCTTTACTGTGTGTGATGCCCAGAAAGGCTAGACTAGAATGTCATCATGTCTGTGATCAAAGGTTCCTATTACCAGTGACCACCCAGGAACTAACTGTGCAGCCATTTATTTTAAACATAGGAAGGGAAATTGGGGGGTGATGCTCAAAAGAAATGAATCATTCTACTATCAAAGCTCTTTAAAAAGCTTTTAAGAATGAAATACTAAGTCAGAAAGGAAGTATATGTAATCTCTTTTTCTTAACAAAACAATTTCTCTTTATCTGCTTAGATATTCTTGGAAAAGATAGCAGCAATTTGTGGTTTTGTTATAATTTTCCTTTTTAAAACATAAAGTGGTTTGCTGTGGTTTTAGATATAAAGCATCTTCTGCAGAAAAAAAGAAAAAAAAACATTTTGAACTCTTACATGTTAACCTTTGTAAAATGTAAAATGGTTAAGCCTGAATTGCCCACTGGGCATGAAATGGTATCACTATCTGAACAGTACAGGATTCTAACCACCATTATGCAAATCCTATCAAACAGCTTTTATTCAGAGGCCATGGAAGCCAACAGAATTGAAAAGCTGCCATGCTTATGGCTCATGATCTCTGTCCTAACTTCTGAGCACCTGCTAAACAAACACTTTCCTCCTGACTCTTCTCCTGCAGTCCTGGTTTGAACTCCCTTCCTGGGTCAAACTAGGGGGCAAGGGATGGGGGGGGGACCTTATTTCTCTGGCTCTGTCCCTTGTCTTGCCCAAAATGATGTACATAAAAGTAATGAAACATCCTTAACTGCCCTCACACTGGCCTCCATTCGGGAATGATTCAGGTTACATTATACAAAGGTTACTAATTAACTATTATTGAGTTGTTTTCTTTTTGCTCTGAAAGTAGCTATAATCCCCTGCATCAAGGAGAAGAAGCTGAAAATTGGATAGATTCATTCTCTAATGCCTCATTTGTGTCCAGGAAGCCCAAGTTTCACAGTACACCTGTGAGACAGAGTGTTTTGTAGACTTAACCTGTTGTGGACCCAGCAGACATCCCATCTTTTACTTGACAATTTATGATGACACGCTCATCCTTTTTTTCCTATTCTTCCTTGGCTTAAAATGTGGGAGGTGATGTTCCTTACACTTAGCAGCTCTCTGAGGCAAAGACTCAGGTAAAGGTCTGTTTTCACTTGAGTCGTCCAGGATTATTGTCTCCATCCTCTATTGCCAAATAGAAACCGTGGCTGACTGGTACTTCTGCTGAATGAATAATCTGTGTCCGTGTACATGCCATCTTTATTGTGTATTACAGTCAATGGTAGATCTTTAAAATGCAAACAGAAAAATGTGGTGCAGAGAGAAAAAATAATGTTTAAGGATCCAAGGATGGGCTTTCCTTAAAAACAAGCCATAGAAATGTTGACTAAATTCCATCTTTCTAAAATCAATGACTATGTTATAAATATTCATTTAAAAAGAGCTCAATTACAATCTGCCAAGTTATACAAGAAGGATACAGGGATAATACTTCCAGAAGGAAATGGTCTCCACCACTTCTTATGTCAAGAGTTGAGCAGAATCTTGCCAGAGGCTGATGTGCCATCATTTGTTTCCTAAACAAAGTATAATCATATATGCCAGGAAAGGGGTAAAGGAATCTGCAAGCATTTGTTCATGTTGGTTCAATCAGCAGTGACCTGGATAAAGAGGACAGAAAAAAAAATACATATATCTGTCTGTTAAAAGCAAGTGGAAAATACAAAGGTAAATTTGTTATGGAATGTAGATTATCATGTAAACTTCCTTGTAAATTCTGTATATAGTTCATTGAACTGTTCCCTGTGGTGTGGTGGTCCTCAGCATTGGGTGCGTATTTGAAAAAACCTGAGCATTGTAAATAACGTAAGCTTATAAAGCATTTGCTTTTATTCATAAAGTGAAATGACTAGTGATTTGGGCCCAAACTAGAATCTTTCCAGCTCTTGCTCTTTCACTACTGTTTTGTGCATACAGTTGTGTGACTCTGCTGTAAGCCATAGCCAGGTGTCTGTGATCACTGCCTCATGCCTTTACCCTACTGAAAGGGGCAGCAGCTGCCTTGAAGGCTGTCAGCCTATGGGGCCAAAGAACAGTGCAGCAGCAGAAATGGGAACTGGAGCAATCTGCATCTTAAACAGTCATTAGAAGTAGGTATGTTGTTATTAGTCACTGTGGCATTACCTGTGTTGTTGAAGGTTCAGGGACGGAAGAGATGCCCAAAATCCACAGGTAATTCAAAGCTTCATTATTCTCTTCCACTGTATATTCTAGAACTTCTAATAATAATAAAAGTAAATAGAAGGAATCTGTTTGATCAGGGTGAATAGTAACTGCTCAAAGGACAGGTAGAAACACAGGGAGAGAAAGTGAATGCTCCTTATAACAGTAACTGGCTAGTTCATGGCTTAAAAAACTCAGAGGTCACCATGTCATTACTCTTTAAAGGTAAAAAGAAATGTTGATGTAAACTGAGTGAGAACAGTGGAATATTACACAGTAAGACATGTTTCCATGAAAACTGGCAGCCCGGGAGAGAGCAATAGCACCTACAGAAATTTAATATCGAAGTGACTGAGGAGATTGGCTTCTTAGTAATGTGTGAGAAGGAATATTGTGTTTCTTGGAGATAAGAAATCAGCAAGGTAAGGTTTTTATGCTAGGAGAGTACACACAGGGAGCCATTGCAGTGGGACATTTTGATTCCAAGATGTGACCCATCATTAACTGAATGTAGAAAACATACCTCGTTGGAACTAATCAGTCAATTTCCAGCTCTAGGACACATTGTGATTTTTACTTTAGCTTTTTTCCAGATAACCAATCACTAAACTGATAGAAAACATAATTGTTATAAGCTACAATTCCACCAGCAAGCATTTGAAAGTTCTTGTTAAACAGAATTATGAAACAGAAAATATTAAGTTCCTAAAGTTCCTAGAAGGATAAGAATGAAGAATTTGTGTTTAACTTCTCCTATTGCAAGAATTTCCTACAGAAATTGAAGCAGTGACAGTTTTCTTTTCCTGTTATTGTTCTTCTGCCAATTAAGACGTCTTAGATATAGCCAGGCATGGAGGCGCATGCCTTTAATCCCAGCACTAGGGAGGTAGAGGCAGGTAGATCTCTGTGAGATCAAGGCCTGGTCTACATAGAAAGTCCCAGGTCAACGGTGGCTACAGACAGACCCTGTCTCAAAAAGACAAGAGAGAGAGAGAGAGAGAGAGAGAGAGAGAGAGAGAGGAGTCTTTGGTATTTTAAGGGACTCGTATCAAGGGACTCAGAGCCACTCTGATTGACCCCAAACCTCTTATATATCCTAGACTTCTCAAAAAGGCTCCTGTAGAAATTCAAAGTGGGAAAATTGATATTCCTAAACCAGAACAGCACTATTTGCACATTCTGTCCTGCAGACAATCAAAAAGTAAATTAATGAGAGAGAGGCCAAATAATGTTGTTCAGTTGCCTTAGGAAAACAGGGTCACAGGATCACTCACTGAAACACTCTTATTCAAAAGCCAAAGGATGAACAAGAACAACCTGGCTCTTGCCTCTTCCTAGGCTTCCCTTTGAAGAGAAACAGGGAAGAGGAGATGATCTCAAATATATTTTTGTATGTTCAAATGACTGAAATAGTATATGTACATTTTGCAATTTTGGCTTTTATAAAATAAATGTCCTCTTCTAACTTTATTCTTTATCAACTGCATGCCCAGGGGAGTTGATTCCTTGTTTAATTTCCAAACCTCATATACTCTCCTGCTCATAAATAATTGGCAGCTCAATCCTGGGACTTATACTATATTTCTTCATTTAATTCATGCAACAATGAATTTCAGTAATTCTTCCCAATTTCTACTTGTCTTTCAATTTTTTTATTTTTTAATATTTTATTTTATGTATATGTTTGCACGTAAGTGTACCCATGTCATGTAGTGCCCATGGAGGTCAGAAGAGAGTGTTGGATTCCCTGGAACTGGAGTTACAGATGGTTGTAAGCTGCCATGTAGGTGCTGGGATTTGAGCCCAGGCTTTCTACAAGAACAGTCAATGCTCTTAACCACTGAGCCATCTCTCCAGCCCTGTTTTTTTTTTTTTTTAATGTGTACAAATGTTTTGACCGCATGTAGGTGCACTCATGTATGCAGTAGTTACAAAGGCCAGAAGAGAGCATCAGATCCCCTGGAACTGGAGTTATTGATGGTTGTTAGCCTCCATGTGTGTGATGAGAACCAAACCAAGGTCCTCTGCAAGAGCAGCCAGTGCTCTTAACAGCTGAGCCTCTCATATTGCCTTTGAAAGATCTTTGGAAGCAAAACTTTTAGTCACAGCAGCCTCTCTGAGCTGCCTTGGGTTATTTTTATTTTCTATTTTTCTGTTCTCTATGTAAAGAGTACACATATTTACAAAAATCTACTTTTTCCAAGATTTTTTCAAAATACAGTGGAAAAGCTGAGACCTGTAGAAATTTACATTATCTATCCCAGAATTTAAAATAAATTTAATTGCGAGGCCATTTTTCACAATATTATTGTAGTATGGCAAATTTATGTTACATTAGTTCATCATCAGGCTTGTCCAGTCATGCCCTCCTTTAATCCCCCTAAGCCTTCTACCAGATGTTGCTGAGAGTTAGTCTTTGGACAAACCATAATATATAGTGTCCAAATTATCACCAGAAAATTATGTGAAATATTTTCCTCCAGACAGCATCTGCATAGACATAAAGAACAGAGTGCTCTAAACTCTAAACATATATCAAAAAGTATGAAGAGAATCTTGGAAGGTTAACAGTAAATGAACCACTTGGTATAGAGTGAAAGTTATAATGAAGGGAAGACACCTTGGAATCAAGATTGGGGATGTGCCTCCACCTGGTGTATTACTCCGGACGTGCCACAAGATGACTTCCAAGTTCTCTTCCAGAAATAAGTTTCAAAGGTTACTTTTGAGAAGTTCGTTTACATGGGAGGCTAAACCAAAAGATGCAGAACACCATGGCCCCTGTTGATGCAGCCTTACAAATTTATTAGTAGTCATGTCTTTGAGAGTAAGCCACTTGGTGTGAAGTAAATTGAATACTTGTTCATGTTCCTTCAAAAACTCATCAAAATACACAGTTACGCAGCCAAGCAGAAAATTTATTTTACTACTTTCATAACATTCTGTGCTATAATATTTCATTCTAAGAAGTACCTTTTAAGGAGTCTCAGAAAACATTTATCAATGTGGTCTGGTCTTCATTTTTAGATTTTTGAAAGATATAGATGTC